TCCCTCTCCCTGCAGCTCTTAGTTGGAGGGCAATCTTTCCAAAAGGCATAGGACGGCAGCATTTCTTATCCTGCTCCCACTCACTAATGAGCAAAAATTCTGGGCAAGTGAGGCTGAGTGGTGGGGACACCCTTCTTCTGCCCAGCCATCCAATGGTTGGCCAGAGACTCTATCTTAGGTGTGGTACTGCTAAGAATACTGGGGCCTCAATTGCCCTTGTTTACCCTGCCTTTAAGGCATTGCTGTCATGCTGGGAGAGGCGAGCTATAAAAACCTGATGCTTAGGGCGCCTAGGTCTCTCAGTTGGTTGAGAGTCCTACTCTTGATTTCAGCTCAGGTGATGATCTCAGGCTCCTGGGATTAAGCCCCACAAGGGGCTCCCCACTCAGCAGGGGTCTGCTGGTCTCCCTCTTTCTCAGCTTCCCCCCAATACATGCTCTAAAATAAGTAAATAAAATCTTAAAAAAAAAAAAAAAGATTTGAGGATACTGCCTCCATGCTTCATGTAGTCCACAGGTCCCTAAAGTGTCACTCAAAAGGAAGAAGGTTATGAGTGGGGGTGGAACAGACTTCACTCAATCGAGCTAATGACTAAACTAATAAACAAGCAAATAACAATGTACCTGTGTGAGGGGAGGGAAGGAGGGACCAGTACCAAGAGTGCTACAATATATTATTTAAAATGTCCAATTTCAAAGAAAAAATTGTAAGACATTAACAGAAAAGTATGATTCCAGACCTAAGTACCAGAAAAAAGCAGATAACAGAAGAAAATGCCTGTGAGAGTGACCAGATACTGGATTAAACAAAGACTTAAATGAAGCCAGTATAAATACTTTCAAACTAAGGGAATCATAATTAAAGAAGGAAGGTAAAATAACAATGTCATATCAAACAGAGAATAGCAATAAAGAGACAGATATGATAAAAACCACCAAAAACGAAATTCTTGAATTCATAAGTACAAGTATGCCTGAAATAAAAGAAATCACTAGAGGGGCTCAAGAGATATGAAGTAGCAGAAGAAAGCAGCAGCATCTGTACATAGCCTGATAGATTACATAACCCAAAAAAACGGGGAATAAAAAAGGAGACAGTGAACAGAACCTCAGACAAATGTAGCATACCAATAAGTACAATAATATACCCATAATGTGAGTACCAGGAGAAGACAGAAAGAGATGAAAAAATATCTGATGAAATAATGGCTGAAAATGTTCCAAATTAACTGAAAAATATTAATCTACATACTCGGGAAATTCACTGGACTCCAAGTAAAATAAATATAAAGAGATGAGCAGAGACACATCATAATAAAAATGCAGAAAGCCAAAACAAAGGAGAGAATCTTGAAATCAGCAAGAGAAAAAAAAAAAAAAGACTCCTCTCTTATAGGGGACCACAATAAGATTAACAGCAGAAACTTCTCAGCAAAAACAATGGAGACCAGAAGGGAGTGGACTGGCATATTCACAGAAAAACACTTGTTAACCAAGAATCTATAAATCCACCAAAGTTATTTTTCAAAAACAGAGAATCTGTTGCTAGCAGAACCCACTTTATAAAAAATATGAGAAATTCTTGAGGCTGAAAGCAAGTGATACTAGACATTAATCTGAATCTACATGCATAAACAGAGCACTGGTAAAGGTAATTATGTAACTATAAAAGACAGTATAAAAATTATTTCTTTTTCTACTAAATGATTTAAAAATGAAATAATACATATATATATATTGAATTGTTAAGTCTGCAACATATAGGAATGTAATATATTTTCCAATAATGGCACAAAGGAGGTGGGTAGGAGCAAAGTTGTACTGAGCTAAGGCAAAAACTCCAGATGGTAACCTGAATCCATAGGATCCAATAAAATAAACCAGAAATGATAAATAATGAGATTAATATAACAAAAGCTATAAATACTTGCTCTTTCTTCTCTAAGCTTCTTTATAAATCATAAAATCATATTAAGTTATAATTATAGCACGTATTGTTGGGTTTGTAACATTTATAGATATCACAAAAAGAGGGAAAATGAAACAAATGTATATGGGAATAATGTCTCTACGTCTCATTGGAATTCAGTATAAATCTGAAACTTATTCTGTTAAGTTAACATGGAAATACAGGATATGAAAGGCCCTAACAACCACTAAGGAAGTAAAAAAAAAAATTGAGATGTAGAGAAATAAAATATAAAAAGTAGAGAAAGAAATCATTAAAATAAAATGAAAAAAAAAAAGCTGAAATGTTATGTTAGAACATAAGCACTTAATGCAAAAGAAAGCAGTAAAGGAGGACTAGAAAAACAAAATGAAACTACAGAAAACAAAAAGCACAATGACAGCCACAAATTCAATGATATCAATAACACTAAATGTGAATAGATTAACCAGCTGATTAAGGAACCCTAACAAGAGGCAGAGATTTTTCAGACGGAATAAAAAAAGATCCAACTAGTCTTCAATACCTTACTTTAATGCATAGAACAAATAGACAAAAGATCTGCAAGAAAAGAAACAGAAGACTTGAACAACACCATAAATGAACCAGACCTAACAGACATCTATAGAATATCTCACCCAAAACAGAATATACATTCTTCTCAACTACATATAAACATTCTGCAGGATAGACCATATGTTAGGCCATTAAACAAATTTCAATAAATTCAAAAGGACTGGAATAATGCCAATTATTTCTCAAACAAGAAAGGAATGACATTAGAAATCAAAAACAGACAGAAATTTGGGAATTTCACGAATATATGGAAATTAACACACTCCTAAATAGCTAGTGGGTCAAAGAAGAAATCAAAAGAGAAATTAGAAAATACTTGGAAGTAAATGAAAATGAATTAAAACATACCAAAACTTATGGGATGCAGATAAACTATCACCCTGGAGGGGAACTTACAGGAATAAATGCCTATATTAAACTGGAAGAAAGATCTCAAATTAATAACCTGACCTCTTACCTTAATAAAAAAAGAACAGAAAACTAAAACTGAAGCTAGCAGATGTAAGGATTAACAAAAATGGAGGAGAAATTAATGAAATTGAAAAACAGAAAAATCAATGAAATCAAAAGCTGGTTCTTTGAGATCAACAAAATTGACATTTAGCTAGATGAAAGATTCAAATTATTAGAATGAGAAATGAAGGAGGGGACATTACTAACCACCTTCTGGAAATAAAAAGGATTATAAATTAATATCATGAACAATTATATACAAGTAAATTAGGTAACTTAGATGAAATGGACTAATTTCTAAGAAAGCAAATCATTGAAATTGACCCAAGAAGAAATAAACAATTTGAACAGACCCTATAAAACTGACTTAAAACACCTGGCCTGAAAGCCCAGGCCCAGGTGTTCTCACTACCGAAGTCTTCCAATTAAAAAAAAATTAATACCATTTCTTCAAAAACTTGTCAAAAAACAGAAGAAAAGGGGAACAGTTCCAAATTCATTATGAGGCCAGCACTAACCTGTTAACCAAACCCAGACAAAAACATCCCAAGAAAACTATAGACTGGTATCTCCTGTGAATGTAGATGCAAAAGTCTTCTGCAACATACTAGCAAAATGAATCCAGCAACAAATAAAATGAATAATGCAGCATGACCAAGTGGGATTTATCCAGAAATCCAAAGTTGATTTAACATTTAAAAATCAATTAACCTAATATACCACATCAGAATAAATACCAAATGGAATTAAAAGCTACATGATCATCTGAATAGGTACATTAAAAGCATTTGACAAAATACAATAATCTTTCGTAACAAAAACACTCAACAAATTATGAATAGAAAGAAACTTCCTCAACTTGGTAAAGGACACTTAAAAACCCAGAGCTAACATCATTCATAACGGATAAACACTGGATGTTTCCCCCCTAAATTCGGAAAAAGACTAGGATATCTGCTCTCATCACCTCTATTAACATTGTACTTGAGGTTTTAGCCATAACAAGTAGGCAAAAAAAGAACTAAAATGCATCCACATTGAAAAGGGAGAAAACCATCTCTATTTGTGATACAACATGGCCTTGTATACAGAAAAAAAGTATAAAATTTATACTTGAAGAACAATAAATTACCAAATAAGAATATCTAAATAAGGGGCGCCTGGGTGGCTCAGCCGGTTAAGCAACCGACTCTTGATTTCAGCGAGGGTCATGAATGATCTCAGGGCTGTGAAACAGCCCCATGTCCAGCTCCTCGCTCAGCGGGGAGTATGCTCTGCCTCCCACCCTAAGCTTGCGCGCGCTCTCGCGCCTGGGTGGCTCAGTTGGTTAGGCGACTGCCTTCGGCTTGGGTCATGATCCTGGAGTCCCAGGATCGAGTCCTGCATTGGGCTCCCTCCTTGGCGGGGAGTCTGCTTCTCCCTCTGACCCTCCCCCCCCATGTGCTCTCTCTCTCATTCTCTCTCTCAAATAATAAAATCTTTAAAAAAAAAAATCTTTAAAAAAAAAGTCTGTAAATATGAGGGAAAACATGCTGTGTTCATGACTGAAAGACTCAATTATGTTAAGACAGCAATATTCTTCAAGCTGATACACAGATTCAGTGTAAGCCCTCTCAGAATCCCAGCTGACTTCTTTGTAAAAACTGACAAGCAGATAATCAAATTCATATGAAACTGTAAGGTTCCCAGAATAGCCAAAACAATCTTGAAAAGAAGAACAAAGTTGGAGAACTCATAAATCTATTTTTTTTGAAACTTAATTACAAAGATATGGTAAATGAAGACCATATGGTACTGGCACTGGGATAGACACAGAAGTCAATGGAATGGAACCGAGAGTCTAGAAATAAAGTCTATGATCTTCTGAGTTTTGACGAGGATGACATGATCATTTAATGAGGGAAGAGTTTTCCAATAACCAGAGCTAGGACAAGAATGAAGCTGGACCCTTACCTTATACCACATACAAAAATTAACTGGAAATGGATCAGGGACCTAAATATAGTAGGTAAAACTATAAAACTCTTAGAAGAGTGGCTGGCATTGTTGGGTGTCGGTGTCTTGGCATCTGGGTAACTCGACATGATTGCATCCAGTGTCCTTGCATTCGCTAACAGGTCAAAATGCAGATCTTCGTGAAGACCCTGACCGGCAAGACCATCAACCTAGAGGTAGAGCCCAGTGACACCATCGAAAATGTGAAGGCCAAGATCCAAGATAAACAGGGCATCCCCCCTGACCAGCAGAGGCTCATTTTTGCAGGCAAGCAGCTGGAAGATGGCCACACTCTTTCTGATTATAACATCCAGAAAGAGTCGACCCTGCACCTGGTTCTGCGCCTGAGGGGTGGCATGCAGATCTTCGTGAAGACCCTAACCGGCAAGACCATCACCCTGGAGGTGGAGCCCAGTGACACCACTGAAAACGTGAAGGCGAAGATCCAAGATAAAGAGGGCATCCCCCCTGACCAGCAGAGGCTTATCTTTGCTGGCAAGCAGCTGGAAGATGGCCGCACTCTTTCTGATTACAATATCCAGAAAGAGTCAACTCTCCACCTGGTTCTCCGTCTGAGAGGTGGCTGTTAATTCTTCAGTCTTGAATTCATAGTGCCCAATGATGGCATTGCTCTGCACTATAGCCATTTGCCCCAATTTAAGTTTAGAAATTACCAGTTTCAGTAATAACTGAATCACTGGTTTTCTCAATAGCTGTTCAAAATGTTAATGAAAGTTTTGTTGCATGGTAGCATGAAAAAAAAAAACTCTTAGAAGAAAACACAGAGATAAATCTTCATGACCTTGATGTTGGCAGTAATTTTTATATATGACATCAAAACCATAAGTAACAAGGAAAAAGAAGATTTAATTTGGATTACATCAAAATTAACTTGTGCTTCAAAGGACCCTATCAAGAAAGTAAAGATAATCCACAAAATGGGAGATAAATATCTGGAAATCAAATTATCATAAAGAACTCCTATAACTTAGTAATAAAATGACAACTCAATTTGAATGTGGGTGGGCAAAAGAGCTGAAAACATTTCTCCAAAGAATATACAAATGGCCAATAAGCACATAAAAAGATCCTTGGCAATATTAGTCATCAAGGAAATACAAATCAAGACCACAATGAGATACCACTATATACTGAGTGTAATCAAAAAGTCAGATATTAAGTGTTGGTGAGGATGTGAAGAAATAAAAACTATCATAAATTGTTAATGAGAATGTGAAATGGTGCAGCCACTTTAGAAAACAACCTGGCAGTTCTTTAAATGGTTGTACGATATCCACAGGATCCAGCAATTTCACTCCCAAGAGAAATGAAAATTATGGCCACATAAAAACTCAGACATCGATGTTTATAGGGACATTATTCATAATAGCCCAGAGGTAGCAACAATCCAAATGTCTATCAACTCATGAATGGATAAACAAAATGTCATGTATCTGTACAATGGAATGCTATTCAATCACAAAAAAGAACAAAGTGCTAATACACACTACAACATGCTTAAACTCTGGAAACATGCTAAGAAGCCAGTCGCAAAACACCGTATCACGATTCAATTTTATGAAATCTTCAGAATAGGCAATCTATAGAGAGTAGATTAGTAGCTGTTCAGGATTGAGGGTATGGGAGCACAGGGTGGGAATGACAAAAGTTTCCTTTTCCTTTTGAGAGGATGAAATGTTCTAAAATCAATTGTGGTGATGGTGAATTTACTAAAAGTCACTGAGTAAACAGTACAGTATATAAATAATATCTCAGTAAAACTGTTGAAAAAACAAACATATAAGTAATGTAAAACCAGTGAAAGAAATATATAGCACTTCAGTACCCTACAAGTAAAAATATTCTGCCCTAGCAATATTCTCTTAGATATAGACAAGTTATGGAATGAGTGAACTAGCAAAGGCTTTTCCACCATGGGTTATATAAGTATGAATGGAACCACAATATTTAGCATTTACGGCCACACTTTTCACTGTACATGAAAAACAGAACTAAGAAAATATAAAAGCCTGTAAGTCATATCTGAGTTCCAGTCAGGCTCAAATGAATAATACCCATGCAATCTTCGTCAAGGTTAAAATTCCAAGCTTTACTTCACTATATATTTAAAATAAGGTGGGGGGGGACACAGAATGAGAGGCAAACTTTATCCAGTTTAATACTATTGGCTCAATACAGCCAACCTTTCACATATCTAAGTTTGAAATCTTATCATCACTAAAGCTCCCCCCAACTTCCCACACAAGACTGCCCATTCTAGTTCCTCAGTATCCTCCATCTGAACCCTTATTCTTTACCATCTTCCTTCTGACTCACCCAAAAAGAGTTAAGTCTCCTTAACTGACAAACTTGTATCTACTATGCTATCTCTTTCAATATCCTTCAAACACTGTCAATACAGTAACTTCTGATCAGATCAATCCCTTCCTCAAAAATAAACAGATTAAAAAAGCAAACAACCAAACTAAACCCAAGCAAACCAATCAACCAACCAACTAATCAAACACCTACCAGTGCTTTCACATGTTTAGATACCTAGACTGAATATACTCAAATCTGTATTTTAACCATTTTCTGTGATTAACTTCAATATTTCTAAAAGATTTCACTTTTTACCTGAAATGTTCTGGGCCTGCTGCATATTGCTGCTCCTCCAGCAGTAAATTTCCATCAAATGAATGCTACTCATTCTCCAAGGTTCCTTTAAAAATTTTAAATTATCTTCCTAATTAGATGCCATCTCTAATAGCTCAGACATAATTTCTTCCTCCTCTGTGCTCCAAATGTACTTTACTTGTATCTTTACTGAAGTATTTATACTATTCTGCCTTTTATTTTCATTATCTGCTTTCTGCTATTCATCAAATGAGTAAGCACAGAGATTTTGTGTCTGTGGTTAATGAATGCTTATTAAATTGGGATCAAATGAGGTAAGTGTGACAATACTTAAAGAACAAATCTTATATATAATTACTAATGAAGATGGTAATGTATCAAAATAGTAATAACAAACTAAATATCCTTAAGAAGTTCCTCAGTGGGATTAATCACAGATCATTCACCAAAATAGCCATCACAAACCTATGAAATTTTATTTATCTGAGAGAGAGAGCACGAGCAGGAGAGGGGCAGAGGGAGAGAGGGAAGCAGAATCCCCACTGAGCAGGGAGCCTGATGTGGGGCTTGAACCCAGGACCCTGAGATCATGACCTGAGCTAAAGGCAGATGCTGAACCGAATGCACCACCCGGGTGCCCCCAAACCTATGAACTTGTTTTTCCCAACAAATGACTTCATTATCTCTAAATTCATTTACGTATTTCAGGAGTAACTTCCAATCCCAAAGCTTAATTCCTACTTGCTCTATACCCAGGTGGAACAAAGTTAATGACGACAAATCATGACATGGTTAACCTTATGAGAATGCAGATATCTTATGCAAACTATTTTTTTTTTTTTAAGGTTGCTCCACACCCAGCGTGGAGCCCAGTGTGCGGCCTGAACTCACGACCAAGATCAAGACCTGAGCTGAGATCAAGAATTAGATGCCCAACGTACTGAGCCACCCAGGTGCTCTGCAAACTATTCATTTTTAAAGATAAAGAAAAATATACATGGAGATACAAAATGCTGCCTGAGGTCACATACTGGGAGACAAAGAAAATATAACAGGGTAGCTAACTTAATTTCAAAATAGTCACTCATCTAACAGTAACAAAATCTTCCTTAATTTTACACATAATCTTTTCAAAATATTTATATAAATAATGACAAAAGCCAACTTTATTATTGTTTTCCCTTAGAATAAGTAAAACCTAACTAGTTCTAATACCTTTTCAACTATTATATACCTAAATCAAAATTCTAGTTTTCCCTATCAGAAACTAATTCTTTCTAATATTCAATTTAAAGAGTAAAATTATAAAAAGCACTGATGAATTCAGAGAAGACATGTAAACTGTCATGAAATTAAAATCTGTTGTTTGGAAAATAACAGCACCTTGAAGACAAAATTTAAGATTATTCAAAAATATAATTCCTTACAGCAGAATTTATTATAGCTTCTCTTAATGTAACGCTATTTCTACTTTGATCAATTTCATGAGTCTGAAAAAACTTTTTACTAGAACTTTGTATATGATTCTACCTTAAGGGCAACAGTTTACCTTAACATTTGACTTCTTTGAAAAATTTACCACTACTCCCCAGCCAAAATCATCTCCTTCATTCTTTACCTAAAAAGAAAGGGAAGCAAGTTAAATAAAAACATTTATGTTCAAAAAGCAATTGTATAGACTTCCTTGCCCACGTTATAGTTTTCCTGGTAAAATATTTTTTGAAAGATCAGTTAAACTTAAGGAAAAAGATATTAACCCCAAAGAAAAAAATCACCACCAAGTATCATAGGCCTCTAAAACAGCAAGAATAGGAATATCTCTGTTGGCAAACAAATTTCTAAAATGATATGATGTATTTGTTCTGAGACTGTATGAAATTTTTAATATTTTATAGCTAATGAATTCATCCAGGACTTAAAACTGCACACAAAACTGCTTCTATTTTTTGATTTCATAACTGGAGATATTTTATATGTCAATTCCAAAAGTGTCTCCTTTGATTTATATCCCCCAAAATGAAAATCAGTGGAGATTAAAAGACCTTCACACATGATCCCACCCCCAATCAATTCCACGTGAACAGTGTAAAACAATATAATTATTATAGAACAACAATTAGCATCTTTACCCAAAAATGACATACCTTTACCAAACGACCTGGCTGTAGAAATGGTAAGCAATACTTTGGTTTATGAATGTATTCTTCAATTTCTTTACCCAGTTTGGCAAGCTGCTGTCTAATCTTGTAATAGATAATGACACTTTCCTCATTTGGTATTACTATTTTATTATACTGTTCTTCTGAGTTCTTTACCTCTGTAAATAAAACACAAGTAAAATATTAAAAAAATACTTTATGTAAAATTATACAAAGATACATCTGTTTTCCTACTACAAATGTAGGAAACAAAGTCAGCTTGCATAGATTAGAAATTTTATGGAAAAACTTCAGAGATAACTGCACATCATTCTGTCTTTTCTTTCTACATTAATGTCCCCCAACTCACTAATTGTGAATCCTCAAATTGAGTCTGAATTGGCAATGATCAGATCTGGTGAGTTGTTTCTCTTCTATAGACATGGGAGAGGATATTAACTAATTAAGAATTCTAGGCCTACATTGTTCAACACAGCACTGTCCTATAAAACTCTTTTGTTAATGGTAGAAATGTGCTAGGTCAGCTTTTTTTCAATATACTACCAGCAGACACCAGCCATATGTGGCTATTTAAATTAAAATTAATGAAAATTAAATACTTAGCTCCTCAATAGCACTAGCACAATTTCAAATATTCAACTGTCAGTAACTCAACTGGTTACTGACTTCTGGACTTGAATAGCACAGGTACAGAACATTTCCACCACTGCAGAAAGTCCCTTTAGACAGAACTCTTTTGGACCTTTAAGTAATATGTTGCTTTAAATTTCATCAAGAATCCAGTTTGCTACTGTCATGAGACCTCCACCACCATCAGGGTCTAGGTCGCTAAAACTGAGAACAGGCAATTCAACTACAGTTCTTTCTCTACTCTAAGTAAATAGCCAAAACATAGGCTCTTTTCCCCAATTTTTCTCTTAGCTCATCTAACCATCTATGATAGCATTTCCTGCTCAAA